CCTTGATAAACGCTCGATTGGAGTAGACGAACATTGCACTGGTCACTTCCTCTTCACTGGCGCCTCCGTGATCCCCTGGAACAATAAACAACATTATATTTATTTGATTACTGTACCAACAGATCAAGCATTGAGATTTTTTTAGATATCCTTTTTTTATAATATATTGTAGCCTATTCATAAAAAACACTGCCTGAAAATTTGAGGGATGTCCACAAAGTAAAAGACAGTTGTATCCAGCTTTTAATGAACGGGACAAACGGCAACAGATTGTTTCTTTACTCAATAAAACATCCAACTGAGTCAGTGTGTACTATTGTTACCTTACAGTGTCTGCAGCAGGGTGTTTACCGCTACAATTAAAAATTAAAAGGTTTGTAGTATGGTTATTGTACCAACACAAATTTACCGTCTATAATGCTGAATAGCAAAGGAACAACTAGTTGGAGCTGGGTGTGATTATTATTATTATTACTATCAGTTGAGATGGGGAGGCCACCTATGTGCGTATTTTAATCCAAATATAAGAAAAGGGTGAGTGTTAAACGGTGTGAGATTATCTGTATAGCTTTGTTACTGACTGAGATTAGAATAGATTGATTTATGTTTTAGCTGGATTCATGTTCTAAACGGAGCATTTTAGAAGTAAGCCTAAAATTGTGAGTCACATGAACTAGTAACATAAGGCAGCAACAAACCCTCAAGATCATGGTTTGCTGACAGGATTTGTTGAATACTTCTATGACTTAAGTTCATAACACAGTACGTAGTCCAAAGCTTGGTTGATTGATGATAACAGTAGAACCCCTGATATTTAGCCTCAAAGTTTAAATCCGACAACTTCTACGAAGCCAATATCAAAACGATTTTCTCAAGGCCTTCAGACGTTTAGTTTGAAGCAGTCTCCGTGACTTGAGCGTTCTCACGGTTTTCCTGTTTGTTTACATTTTACTGTTCCAATATTCAGTTGAGCTAATGGGCCTAGCCTCTGAAAGGTTTCCAGTGTGTTTAGTACAATACAGTAATTGTATTAACAATGGATAAGAAAAGAAAAATCAGCAGAAAATTATATACTATTTTAAGGTCTAATAAATTATCTTCAAGGCTAATCTAGTGTTAGTCATTGTTATAAATCTATTATGCTATGTTGGTTTTACAAACATAAACCCAAAAGAAACTTCAACATGTTTTATACTACATTTTATTGGTAGGCCTAACACATTATTTTATTGTAAATTATCGTTATTAATAGTACCGATCTGGTCAAGAGTTTGGTCCCGAAGTGCCCGGATATGAGGCCTTCCACTGTAAAATATTTGTTAGGCTACTTTCAGGACAGTTCTGGTGTAATTGCTTTAATCTTACCTTATATACCTACTAGTCTTAAATTGTAGCATATGGTTCAATGTTACCTGTTGCAGTCATGCCATGGTCTCCAATAACAAATAGAATAGTATTGTTGTCCAATTCAGCAACTACACTCCTGTAACATAGGGATTATATTGGAAAACGATTGATTATGAGAGTTAAGACAGCCTAGTGGTTAACGTCTGACTTTGGAGGGAGAGCCTATTTACTATGGTAAGTCATAATCTAGCCTAAATTACCGGCAACAGTTTTGCAGAGAACCTGCACTAGGTTATGTTACCAGATTAAATATTGAAATAGGCAATATTGATTTTGTTTCAGTTTGATAAAGGTACCGGTATCGCTTTTGTTTAATTTTTATTACCTATGTTTAGTAAGTAATTAAACTAAACTTACCAATCATATTAAACTTGTAACCAAAAACAATAATATTTTATGAATGTTAACAAAACAAACAATAAGTTAACAAAAACGGCAATAAAATAAAAAAATGAAGCAATCAAACATAACAAAAACCTACAATCAAAAGGGTTTTCTATATAACTTAAGTTAAGTATTTATTTAACTCACCAAATCCTAAGTATTGACAAATAGAATAATTATAGACTGTCAAAGGAAGGTACCGTCGCCCACCGCTGGGTTTGCCGTGTAGTTACGGCGCACACCGCTGCAGGCGAGGAGCGCAGTAGCCGTATGCGACCAGCAGACCAGTACGGCCAGCGGTGTGCGCCGTAACCACAAGGCAAACCTAGCGGTGGACGCCAGAACTTATGCTAACCGCAGCAATGCTGACGGTCTATACGGTATTTATTCTTTATGTCTAATGTATGGCCTAAGTTAACTACATAACTTGAGTAGTACATAAATTTAGGATGATAATAACTTGCTAAGGATAAAATAAACAAACAGAACAACTTTATTAATGTTCTCGTTATCATTTATAATGATAGGCCTAGGCCTAAATTAAATTTGATGAGATATTTTCCTGTGGGACTGTACCTCCGTAACTTAGGCCTACCTAGCCTGAACTGGAAATTCTGTGATACCTATTAGGCCTAGGCTTGAATCAATACAAAACACATAACTTACCTAATTACTTCGTTCATTTCTGTTAACTTCCTTGCCATTTCTGAGTGGAAGGGACCGTAAGTATGTCCACAATGGTCAACTCCAAGAAAGTGAGCTATTATAATATCCCAATCGTTACTTTTTACTTCTGGTACCAGTCGTTCCCTTACATTAGAATCTACAGAATCCAAGTCCCAGACATTAAAAGAGGGATATGGATATTCTTTTCGAAATCTTCCAGGATACATAAATGTTAATGTCTCGTCTCCCATGAAAGTTATATTTTTCTTGGCTTTTACTAACTGATCGATAAGGTTGTCTTCATTTATTTCAGATGTATCAAAGTTAGATCCTACATCAATGAAAGTTGGTAAGCTTCCTGTGGTAAGACCATTCAATCTCTGCATCGTAGTGGTTGGAGGATCAGCGATGAACTTGTATAACCTCCCTTTATCTGGTTCCTTTTTTAACAATTCATCAATGAAAGGCAATTTGTTTTTATAGGGAGGAATATTCTCAACAAGACTTTCATTGTAGAGAACAAAATCATAACTAAGTGCATCAATCAAAATCAAAATCACTTTTATATTGCTATTAAAACAAAACTGAGAACTATCTAATTTATTGTTCAATTGATTTGATACAACATTCTCCTCAGTACATTCTAGGATCTGCTCTCCATTTATTTCATTTTTTGCACTAGAATTAAACATAATATCACAAAAGCCAAGACTAGAAGAAGATTTGCATGATGAATAAAAATGCAGGACTTCTCGATTAAGCAGAAATCCTCTGGTAAACAAGAACATCCCACAAATTAACATGCATCCTAACCAAAATAAGAATATGAAATACTTTAAAAGTAAAATCATTTTTGTTCAGATATTACCATCGGCAACCACGAAATAGGCTAACTATAAAAACAAGTTAAATAAGTACGGATGTACAAAATAAAGGCTGCAGTGACTGCAAATTCTCTCCCCATAACTAACTTTTCATGACATTCACTCATCAAGCACAATCTAGGAATCTTGTATTAAGTTATAGTAATCAACTCAACTCAACTAAACTGATAACTGATTACTGAAGAACTTTAAGAAGTCCCAACACTCCCAACTCCCAAGTCCCAAGTACCACCAACACTCCCAACCCAACTCCCAACCCACCTAACCCTAAACCCAACCTCAACGCAACGCAACCTATTCAATCCCATTCCCATTCCGAAATAGCAGAAAGCAGAAGTAGTTTCTTATTATTTTTAGCAGGCTTGGATAAGTGTCGTGTAGCTCGAAAGGGTAGGTCACAAAAATGGAATCGACAGCCAAAAGCTTCAAATTACGAAGTGTAAGATTCCCCTCGGATAAAAAAATCAAACATTATTAATCTTCTACATCATAAGTTTAGAATTTTTTTCTGTTTTAGTAAAAATCTTCAATAAAAAAATAACTGTAGTATTTTCAGTTATATTTTCTTGCACTCTCGTCTGACATGCATGTTCATTTTCACACAATGGCTACATGATGTTCATTTTCATTAATCTTAAAGTCCCCTTTCCTTACCTCCATTCATACTGTATATTAAAATAAGCTATGGCAATAGTTTCCTGAAATCTTTAAACAAACACAACCATGAAGTACTTACATACAAAACTTTAGGCAACAAAACCATTAATCAATTAATTTACCTTTGAATTGCTACCGAATATCTTTGGCAATAGCCGGACCACATCAAGTATTTAGGTATCAAAAAATGTATTTACTAAACTGCCAGAAGACATGAAGCTGTCAAGATAATAACATTTTTAAGAAAATGCGTAAGAACTACTTAATAGAAAGATATACTACAAATAAGTTAGAAGAATTTTGATAAGAATAAGAAAAATAGGACATAGGTATACCGGAATTATTACCTTTGATGACCAAGGCTGGAAAGCTACAACCACAGATAAAACATACGTCTAATGGAGTATGTTTTATCTATGGTTTTATCTATGCTACAACTATCCTACTAGTGGGTGGGATCATCGTGACTGCAATTAATTTGTCTTTCTCCTTCCCCAGAAGAATGGATAAAAATACTGTACTCTCTTAGAAGATGTCTCATCCTTATGGAACATCTCCAACAGCTGAAGTTTTTTTTTTATTGGTACGCTTAGCTGTCAACTTAAAATAAATTGGGTTTAATATTTACAATCTGAGTTCTGGAAAGACTGTGTCACTAGTCAGTAACAATCCAACCTGAAAATCAGTTTATCCATTAAGATGTCATAGTCAAATACGTTAAAGAAATATTTTAAATCTATGGCCCCAGATCAGATTAAACACTATCCATCCAATAATTTAATGTTACAAGAAAAAAACACTGTCTATTCATTAATTTAATGTTATAAGAGTTTAAAAAGAATATACATTAATAGTAGTATATAGCTTTTTCAATGCCATCTCGATTTTAAGTACACTTTTTTACTGAGGTACTGTCCCACTGAGCAGTAACCAGACCAGACGCTGGCAGCCCATAGCAGCATAGCAGAAGCAGAAAGCAGAAAGCAATAGCCGTAGCAGAAGACAAAAGTTCGATAGACCCTAGGTTAAAGGTTAGAAGAGATAATATTACATTTATTTACCAAATTTTTTGTCGTTCTATCTTGCCTTATGTGTAAATTTTGCGTTAAGTCTTTCATGTGTTATAGATATAAATGCAACTAAAGAATGCAAAACAGGTTTGGTGTGAAGACTGTTAAACATTTTATTTGTGTTGGGTTAAGACCCGGCCCTATGCACAGCCATTGAAGAAAACTAAAATTTGACAGACATAATTTTCTCAAGTATTTAGCAGTAAGTAGCTTTTTATTACATTTCAATTTTTCACCCATGTAGAAATTTATATTATTATTTGTCGCAATACAAGCTACGGTAGACCCACTTAATGTGTTTTTATTTAAATTTCAAGGCTTATGCTATGTGTCAGGTTCATTTAACTTATGAAACCAATGCTGTTTACTTTTAAGTTTTAAGACTTGGATCGTTATCTTAAGACATTAAAATTACTAATATATTTATGATCTATTGTTTGTAAGATAAGTTTGCAAGTTCTTTTCCTCAATTATTTGTTATGTATTATTGTCTAGGTTTGCAGGATCAGAAAATGAAGTTTTGGTAGGCCTACATCTACTGAAAAGAAGGCAAAAATCTTAGATTATTTTAAGTTACTAGGCCTACTTATACAAAAACCAAAACCTAGTGCAGTACTGTTTTCAGATTATTACTACGGTACCTCTTTGTTAATAGTTTATTCATCCTCATTCAATCACTTTACTCTTTTTACCTAAGCAGTCATTCATAGGCTGTCATCTGTAGGCCCAAATGCTGAGACAGCGAGCAAAGACTAGTGGTGATGAGGAATGGCCACCACCGCCTCCTCCCATCATGGACGAGAAGGCCACCGCTTGTACCTCTAGGCTGCACCGACTTTCCACCACAGGCACAGTTGTTGCTGTTGTATCCGTAACCAGTCTTATCTACATAATTGCTCTCCTGCTCAACAACAGGTTGCCATTGCCCCTCAATATATCAGATGAAACTTTCAACGCTGACAGGTTAGTAGTTTTCTAGTTTTTTTTCTTATGGATATTTCTAACGTTGCAGTTTAAAAGACATCCTTCTAACATTTTATTTCTTTAACAGACAACAAATTTTTACAGCATGTTTAACACTTGTACAATAGGCCTACACAATACAGTAATACCAAAGTGAGCTTAAAAAGTAATCCCTCCACAAAATAATTTGACTCTTATCCTTAAGCATTAGTTTACCTTGCCAGAGTGAAGTTCTAAAACAGTATAAAAAAAAATGAATTAGCATAGGCTACCGACTAATAGCTACCGGTACCGGTATTTATGGCTCAGAAGCAGATTCCTTAGCCTATTAATAGAAATATGCTATCCAGCTACATGTGTACATTTGATTAGAGTGAACGCTAAAAATATTCTGAATTACAAGTTTTTAAGTAAAATGCCGTTACTGTACTGCAGTAATTCAAATATTTTGGGAGGTTTCTGTTGTAAACAATGTGTTATTGATGTAACACAAGTGTTGTTAAATCAAACCAAGGGACGTAGGTAGCAAATTATTTTTTGTAAAAATAATAGGTAAACAGGCAAGGCCTACTTAGGCAAATATCATCAGTTTTCTGTAATTTATAAGAAATTCAAGACAATTAGCCACAAACTGATCCTCCTCTTTGTTTGGCAGGTTTATTGCTGAAAGAGCTAGAAGCATATTAGAAGAGCTTTCCGATCTTGGCCCCAAAGTAGCAGGCAGTTTTGTCAACGAAGTTCATGCTGTACATTTTCTACAGCTACAAATCAATAACACGATTCTCCAGGCAAATCCTATCCACAAGATATCCCAGGACATTCAAAAACCAACGGGTTCTTTCAGTATTCCGCATAAGACATACAAAATGGTGTATCACTACAATGGTATACAAAATATAATAGTCAAGATCGGACCACATTCTGCAGTCAATGGAAGTCTGTTAGTCAACTGCCATTTTGACTCTGTTCCTTTAAGTCCAGGTAAATGATGATAACCGACTATTATTTTAGAAAGAAAATAATGGTTTAGTCAGTCAGTTTCATTAGTTGGTAGATTATACAATTTTTTTGGATTATCTGATCGATGGCATAGATAATACTGTATTTAATCCACATTAATAAATGATGAAATGGACGAAACTTGGTCTCATCTTGAAGTATTGAATAAATGAACTACAGTAGAATTCCAACTATCCAAATCAATTGGGAACGCACCACATTCGGATAGATTTTGATTGAAGTTCAAAGTGTTTTACAGAAAATAGGTTGAGCCAAGCTTTTACTTTTGTGATCACAAAATGCGCCTGTGAACATTTTGCCTTAAAAAATTGATGCTTTCACTTTGATTTTGGAGAACGATTATAATTTTCGGAGACTGCGGGAGACAAGGATGATGTCTACACTGCAGAAGATGTTCATGATTTTGCCTCGACCGTGGAAAACGATGCCAATTTTTCCATGACCTTGGGAGGCAATGATCATACCTACACTACCTTGTTTTGGATTTTGCCACAGTCATGGCTTCTGCCTTCTTTATAACGATTCTTATTACTGTGGTTTTAAGTTTTTTAAATTATTTACCGTATGTAAGAGATTCGGATCGTTGGAGTTTGTTTATTTGGAGTTCTACTGTACCGTCTATATACCGCTAAATGTTTGAGCAAGTGACAATTTAAGTGGAGGAAGAGCAGGTGGGTTTGTCTCTCGAATTTATCTATTCATTAATCCAACTATCCAATTAATTGTTACTGTACAGCAAATCACACTCAGTGTTATTTGTTACTGACTGAAATCAGCTGTTTCTTCAACCAGGATCGTTTATTTAAAGCCCAGTGATCAGGAACAGCTGAGTCAATTTCAAATCATCACAATTTAAGACAAATACTATTTTTGCTATATGGGTAACAAAAGGATTGTTCTAAAGTTTAATGGCACTGATACATTTTGAATTTCTAATCTTTAAAACCTTCGGCTATTGTCAGACCTGGTGGTTTACCTCACTAAACAACACAGGTCAACCAAAATTCCAAAAGCAGACTCGCAGAATTATTAATTATAAACTATACCCCTTGTAGCATAGCAAATGTCAAGTTCAGCCGATTTTATTGAGATATACCCTCCTTAACCTAATACTTAAGAAGTATTTTCATGTTACTCTTGGATCAATATAAATCAGTCAATATAGCTCAAAGGGATCAATCAAATTGAACGAACAGTTTAAGGCACTTTTCACTTAAAAATATCCAACCTTTTTTTCTTAGGGGCAAGTGACGACGGACTGAACTGCGCTGTCATGTTGGAAGTTCTTCGAGTCATATCTCGGCAACGCGACCCACTTCAACAGAACATAATTTTTCTCTTCAATGGAGCGGAAGAGACGCCTCTTATGGTGAGTTTTACTTTTAGGAGACCTACTTATTTTAAGTCAGAATTTTGTTGATTCATGTCATATTGCAGCGTTTTTTTAGTTTTGAGACAAAGTAGGAGATTTGAATGATAAAATTTATATTTTACAGTAATACTTATCATGTCATAGCCATTTTACATGATATCATTGAAGCCTTCCGTAATACAAGGCCGGAGCGAGACAAAAGTGGGCAGTTCCAACAGTTGTAGCACTAACTCATATGGAGTGTCTGCGCAGTGCTAATGTTTACACGTTTGTGGTTAGTTATTGGTGAGTGTGATCTTACCACATTGTTCGCCGGCCTTGTATTGTCGTGGCTCTTTCGACAGTTTTTTTTTTTTAATTATTACAACAACAAAAAATTATAGAAGAAGGCTTTATTTATCACAGCAAGAATTGGACAAAATATTTATAGTAAAATTAGAATCCAACAATAATTTTGACACTTTAAGTTAATTTGAAATCCAAGTTCCATCTGGAAAATTTCCTAGCTGATCACCATTTCTTTCTTGTTCGTCTGAGGCACATTGCTTGTTGCCCTTAAAACTACACAAAAAACTCTTGATCTTATTCAATTAATTAGACCTACTAATCTGTTTGGGTTTTTACAATTTTTGTAATAACTTTTCAGCCATAACTATTAAAAACACCTGAAATTAATTCCCGAGAATTCCACCAAAGCTGTGGAGTAAATGATGCCCATCTTTTTTGCAAGTTTTTGTGTAATTTCTTTTAAGTTATTAAGTTTGTAGTAGGCTTACTGACTTTTACGCTTGTTCCCAGGCGTCTCACGGGTTCATTACGACTCACAAGTGGGCCCCTGAAGTAAGAGCTTTCATCAACCTAGAGAGCTGCGGGGCCGGTGGCAAAGAAGTTCTTTTTCAAGCCGGTCCTAACCATCCTTGGTTGGTGCAGGTAAGATTAGCTTATATTGTCTTTAAAAAAAAAAAAATCTTTTTAAAGCTTTTAAAGAACCAAGATGTTGAGAAGTTTTAAATTTAGCCTATAATGAAAAATAACACAACATTACCTATCCAAAATATAGAGGACTAAGTCGTTCGAGACAACCAACATTTTTGGTTAAAATGTTATCTTTTCTTTTTCTCTATTAATTAAGTTAATTAATTTAATATACAAATAATGCATTAAAAGCGGACACTGTTGTCAGGAAGGTATGTTAACAGGAATTCAATCACCTTAAAAAAACATCTTTATTATATGGTAGGGCCTAGTGCTTTTCAATGCTTTGCCAAATTATCTAAAAATTGAGTCGGCCTGCTATTTAAAAAAAAAACCCTTATGAAAATTACCAGTGTGTAAATGCTATTACTGTTTACGTGAGTTTATTGTTGACGGGTGAAATTGTTAAATATGGTTTAGTTTAATAGTTACTTCATAGTTTATAAGAAAAATTTTATTTTTTTATGTATTCCTGACTTAGTCAATGCATTAACCCTGTAAATCTGGCCAAATAAATGACTTATGATACTAAGGTTATTTTTATTTAACCATAATATAGAGGAACCAGTTGGTCTAGTAGCACAGGGCCTTAGTCCCTGAGGTCCTGTGTTCAAATCCTGCCAATCTCCTATGACTCTTAGCTATGTAACAAGGGCGGTTCCAGGGCTAATTTTCGGGGGGGGCCATTCTATCTCGACCACCGGGGGGTGTGGGGGGTATGGAATACCCCCCATTGCGCAAGGGGGGTCCGGGGGAAAATTGTAAAATTTGGAAAATTATACTTACAAAGTCGACATTTTAAGCACTCTGACGAAGAAAAAGTTTAATCTCTTGTAATCTGAAAAGGAGAGTTTTAGTGCAAAACTTACCTACTTTGTTCAGTGATACAACTTTGTCTGCTCTACTGTCCCTGTAATTTCACATTATCTATTTTTAAATATTTTGTTTCATAATGCTGACGCGCATTGTATTCCTTCAACAATTATTGTTTCAGAAAATAAAAAAGTTTCTCGCTTACTACATTATTGACGTTGCCTAACCTAACCTAACATTTTTACACAGTTTAAAAGCAAATTGTGAGATTTTAACAATCAAGGGATTTGAGGAACATGAATTTTTGGACAATAATTAGGCTATAGTACCAGTTTTTTTTTAATTTAAGTTACATGTAAAACAAAATGGAAATTCAACAGTGAATTCTATGATAGTTATCCTTGTTAGATCTTAGGCTATTTACAAAACAAAATCAAGTCGTCTTTCACTCTTTTTGGCAAAACATTCGATCACTTTTTCAGTATCTACTTCAATATCCCGGTGAACGTGAAGTAGACAAAGACCCGTAAGACGGTACTCCCCCATTCTCGCCCGTAGCCATGTTTTCACTCTCCTCAATGTGGAGAACGACCTTTCCGCTGTTGCCACACTGACTGAAAAACATTACGTCTGAATTTTATTAACTGTATATATAATATATATATATATATAAACTAATAATTGAAAATACACCACAAGCGTCTACAAATTTGAACATAAATTATTAACTGAAGTAAAACTACCCAAGCAGTTGTGGAACAAATAAATAATTATGTTTACGTTTTGTTCAGCTATTTATTAATAAGAGTAATATGCCTCTTATATTTGTTCAAATTTGGGTATTTAAATCCACAATTTTATTGTTAACTCTACTTGTCTACTCCCTTACGGTATTATTTTTATTAGATCGGAGAATCAAAATATTACTAAAAGTGAAATAAAATAAAAACTGTTTTAATAGCTTGTTTACTGTATGCATAGTAGACCGTAATATTAAATACCACATACCTGGAAGAGTAGCCAGGATTCTGACAAGATTTGATATTGTAGGAAATATATTACTGTCACAGGCATCCAATACTTCCATTACGTCTTCAGGCAGCTTAACATTTTTCTCTTGCTGTGACATCCAATGTGTTTTCCACAGTTCCAGTTCACCTTCGAAGTAAATCGTGTTCATTTTACTGTCTCCACTGCCAATGATAGAAGAAAATTTATCAAATGCCGTTTTCAACTGACTTAGTAGATTTATGCGTTGTTCTTCTTTTGCTCCAACTAGAATTGTTGGGATGATCCCTCTTAGACCAAAACATTCTAGGGAACTCTGACTTAGTCTTGTTGATAGATCATTTGATACATTGTCCAGTAGAGGTATGTAAATGGACCTCCTATAATACTCTTCCGGAGTTCCTGGGTGGTTTGATCTTTTTGTTTGTTTGCTGGCAAGTCGTGGCAACCTCACTTCAACGTCTACTACTTTGGCTAGCTCTGTAAATTCAACAAACACTTTGCTGAAGTTTGTTTCAACCTGAGTTCGTTTTACTTGTATTGTGGTCAGTGTGTTGGTTACAGCTTGTGATGCCATATTGGAGTCCAGGGATGGTGTTTTGAGCAGTCTACTAAGGGGTAGCGTGATTTTCAGGATATCAATCAATACAAGCATTGATATCAAAAACTCAGGTGTGCATAACGAGTTTAGCAACGTTGATGCAGTAGATGATGACTTTGAATCTTTCCATGTAGTTATTAAAGTCAATGCGTCAACAATATTGGTTAGTGCAGCTCTAAATTTGATGACGCTTTCGTGGCACTCCACCCAACGAGTTTCACACAGGCTTGATAGTTGATATCCTAAAGTTGCCTTCAAAACCTGATTCCTTTTGGCTGACATATTAAAAAAAGCCACAACTGTCTTCATCACACCCACGGCGTTTCTAATGCAAGCCACATTAACTGATGTTGAAATTGAGTTATTCAATACATGGTTCAGGCAGGGACATCTACATGCATTCTTCAAAACCTTTTGCATTTCAGTAACAGCACCTACTGATTCGGATGACATGACACTACAACTGTCGGTGCCGATGCCTACACAATCGTTTAAATCTAATGACAATTCTTGCAGCAATTTGACAACAATTTTTCCTAAGGCCTCTCCAGTTAGGCGTTGTTCACTGTCTGTATCTTGATCTAGACTTATAGACGGAATTCTTTCATATGCGTCAATGAATTTGACGAAATCTTCTCGTATTTCATTTTTGTATAAGTATCTTAGATTCAATGAAAGTTGTTCTGTGTGAGAAATATCTGTCGTTTCGTCAAATATAACTGAATAATATTTAGCATTTTTTACTTGACTCAGGATAGTGTCAGTAATTTCTTCTCCACAGCAGGTAATAAGGTCATTTTGTGTCGTATTGCTAATGTAGGTGGCTCTTGAAGAAGCAGTTGACAAGTGACGTTTTAAATGCTCGTCTCCTGATGCCACCTTGAAACGTAGCAATGCCCTAAAATTACCCTCATTGCTAGGCCCAGCTGTCTCTTCCAAACAGCCGTCGTCTCGATGACCTCTTAAGGGGATGTTCTGCCGGCCCAAAAATACTATTGATTCCACTATAGGTCGAAGTCGTTCCCTATTTTCTTTTACCTGGAGTAATCGTTGGGTATCTACCTGATTTTCAACAGATTTCTGAGGATTGTGATAACTTTTAAGAAAATCAATGCCGGCTTGAACACATGACTTGTGATACAAAGTATCTTCATGGGACTGTAAATGTCCCTGCTTACCTAAAAGCTTAGCGTAAGTGGTCAAAGGCTGAGTGACGAGGTTTTGTGCTATCATACCTTTGTTGTGGCCACACCTTTCGCCGGCAAAAAGCACACAAAACTTACAAAATATTCCCCTTTTTTCGTGAGAATAAACTAGCCAACTCCTTTGTTCTAGGTGATGGTGTCCCAAATAACGTTTTAATTCCTTGCCTCCCTTTGTGTGCACCGAATGAGGCAGTTGGTACGATTTCGGTGGTACCCATGGGTTTTCCAACAATTTACACTTTGTATATTCGTCGACACTTTTATTTATGAACAATCCTATATCATTGGAGAAAATACTGTCATTGCTGGATGACTCAATCGTGGACGAAGCTTCATTTGCCTTCACGTTTTGGGTTTCTTTAGATCCAATGTTATAAATTTTGAATGGAATTGACATCATTTTGTGAGGTGCCTGCATCAGATATCCCTTGATCAAGACTGAGTGTCAGTGTGTCACCGAGTTTTATGGACGCATCCTGAGTTACGTAATCTTTCTTGTCTACTTTTTTAAAGTACGAACTTATTGGATTTGGATTCAAGCGTTTCCGATCATTTTGGAATGCCTAGAACAACGAACGGAATACAATATACAGGTATACATACAAACCATAGGCAATTTAAGTTAAAATCTGTAAATAAATCAAATTAACAAATTACAAGGCATAAATTGGGAAATTTATTCCAAAAGTTTGATACGATGTTCATGGAATTTTAAGTTAAAATCTGTAAATAAATCAAATTAACAAATTACAAGGCATAAATTGTGAAATTTTTTCCAAAACGGCAAGAGGACTATTTTACATTATACTGAAAACTGGCCGATATCATACTAGAGATGTAAGTTATCGTTGTTTCCCAGCAACGCAACTTAATTTTAGTAGGTATTTTAGCAATTTATAGAATTATTGTCCTAGTTTCTAACATCATAATTTATCGTCATTACTTTTACTTAAATGGCTTTTTCCAATTATTATTATCATAATAATAATTGGAAAAAGCCATTTAAGTAAAAGTAATGACGATAATTTACAATATGTAAATATATTAATATAATTCCCAGTATCCACTTATTTTTATTTCTCAAAGCATTACCTACCGTTTTGAAACTTACGTTATTCATAGTTTAACATTAATCTATGATTTCACTCTTAATTAACTGAATGTTTATAGGTTACTAAAATAAAATACATCACTTTAAGAATTTTTTATATATAAAATCAAAACAAGTCATAAGTGTACTGCTACAATACATTTGCTCATTATTTTACAAAAATAATGGAGAATTATAGTACCTGGGAATCAGTGGAGAACTAAAATGTGAAAACGCATAAAATAACTCAGGTTTGATACAATACGTATGCAAACAATACGTATACTTCCTGTGAGACTTCCGACCTACGTACCATTCCCACACTCCACAGCGCAACATACACAGCGCTTAGTTTATTACTATTTGTCTATATTGCCGTAACTTAACATAACATTAACATGTGGAAGTTGCGGTGACGAGTTTAATAATTCGGTTATTTCAAGACCCACTTCCACACAACAACTAACTACCGTATCTAGATTGTCGGTACATAAACTAGTTGTCGACGATTTCGTCAAAACTATTATAGTTTTTCAAAAACGGCGTTCTGTTCTGCGGATCTGTCCGCTGCCGACTGCCGTGGCATTGTCGCAATGAAAAAAACACAAACGCAATGAATATTATAACATCGATATTTTACAATCGCTTACTGTTTGTGCCACTGCGACTTTGTTAATGTCTACACATGAGTGGTAGTAAGTTTAATGGCGGTTGCTCAATTTCGAGTCTAGGCTAACCTAACTTAGAAAACAACTAAGCCTAGGATTTAAAAACTTTCATGATCAGTACTTACCATTATAATCTTGTCCGGTGCTTGAGCTCAAGACGCTCAAATGGAGATGAACATTGGTTATATCTTGTAAAACTGTGTTTTAATAACAAACACAACAAAAAACGTAACAAATTAACAAAACGAATACTGAGCTGAGCCACAAGTGTAGGTGTAACGTAATGTGGAGGTATGATCGACACGGTGACGTACCGGATGGCAGGAAACGCGGATGCGCGCGGACGCGGTGCCACGCCCACTGCCCAGACTGCATTGCTACAGAGTGCAGAGCGGGGTTTCCCACGATTTTCCAGACACACAGTTTGTCCAAGTCTTTCAACTCTTCAGTGACACTTATAGTCCAACATGCTTATGTGCGTGTAATAGTCTATTCATGTAAATAAAATAAATGTTTAAATAAAAAAAAAAAAAAAATCTCGGGGGGGGCCATGGCCCCCTCTCTGGAACCGCCACTGCTATGTAATGATACCGCTGCCCTTTAGGCCTGGCCTGAAGCAATGTGTGAAAGTAAAACGGTTCCAGGCTAAAGCCTTGTGTCCTTAGATGTAGGACAAAAGGAAATCAAGACAGAGGCACATAACACATTTAACACAAAGGTCTTTTAATGTAGATACGGTACATGATATTGTCAATGGTCTTGCATGGGAATCCACATTAGTAATAAGAATAGTATTATAAGATCGCAGTGGTATCAGTAGGGTACTTGATAAATAATTTATCATGACATTATTATTATTGTTATGTGTCAACTCAACAATTCCTTTGCTGACTAAGTAGGCCTATGAATAATAGGAAAAACATTTGACTGTGTTAAAAATAAAGTGGAATTAGGTGACTGGCCTCTTTACAATTAAATTATTTTTGTTTTATGAACATAATCGGGAATTAGAAACAGAAAACTTTTGCTCCACCCAACCACTCCCCCCCATACGCCTTTGCTATTTTCTGTGCTCTAGAATTGCTAAATAACTACCAGTAACTGTGTTTTTAGCTTAATGATGTAACATAGGGTTGAAGAGCCAACGTTTTAAGGATTTCTGGGGTAAAGCAGGTCTACCAAAATGGGGAAGACTAGCTTAGAACAAGAAACACAAATACTGGATGGTGTTGCAACTGTCAACATTCATGATTTTGTTGTGCAAAGTTTTTAAGTTTTTTTCCATTTTCCTAATTGTATTTCACAAGTTTTGCACTTTCAATTATCAGCACCACATAGGTTGGATAGGAGATTTAGCCTATAAATCTCCTATGATCTTATCTCCTGGATAGGAGATAAGATTGGATGGGATTAGTGGGAGTCTATTGTACTGAATTATATTTTTTTACGCTTACTTGAAAAAAAAAAAAACTTTGTTTCACATATACCTTATTTATCCAACATTTTTCAACTTTTATTCACCATACGTGGTAAATAGTTACAATAAAATAAGAAAGGTGGATTCAAGCCAAAATATGTAAACAAACATAATTGTCATTTGATCTGGACATCGGGTTTAAACAAGGCATGTAAAACTTCAATATCTTATTGATTAAATCTCAAGGGCTAGAATAAAATTAGAGTGAATTTCAGTTCTGATTCTTGGTTTTTCTGCAGTTGTATGCTGAATCTGTTCCATTCCCAAGTGCAAAAGTTCTGTTTGAAGAGATCTTCCATTCTGGACTGATTCCGTCCGATACAGATTTTAGGATATTCCGCGATTACGGCCAGAAACCTGGTAAGTAATTTTAATACTAACAAAGCTTTAAGATATCATCGAGAATATAACGACTTATGAATAATTTTGATTCTGAAACTGGCAAAACCACATAAAATGTCTAGTTCTATTAACTGTCAAAGGTTTCTGTTATTGTGTTTACAATGTATCAAAATCATTCTGAGATTCAATGAATATCTGTCAGGACTGGACTTTGCCCATTGCAAGAACGGCTACGTGTACCACACCAAGTATGACAGACATGACATGATTCTACCCAGCGTTTACCAGCACACCGGGGACAACTTGTTGGCTTTGGTGCGACACATCGTGGCTTCCGAACAGATCAAGAGACCTAACGAGTTCAAAAATGGCCGCCAGGTAAACAGTGTTTTTGTGATAGGGAAAATCCCTTCTGTTATTATTGAAATAATTATTTTCTTTGATATTGGCTATTATCGAAAATAGCTACTTTCTGTACGTAGTGTTGATATTGTGTTTTATTTAAATAATTAAAACTTGTATTCAAGCAAATTCTACTTGATTTGTAATCAACCTCTAAGTGTTTGAATGAAGTTTACATTTAGTTTAATTTTTATACCTATTTTGGCAGTTTTTAGGGATATTCAAACACAGTGGTTAAAAATAAAAAAATCCACTTCCGTTTCAGTTATTCCCAGTCTGCGAATCCACGAAGCCTCTAAATTTTCTTTCCCTTTTCAGTTTCTCTCACTTTTCCATCTGCCATTTTATTCATCCTCTGTTTCTGCGCTCTTAACCTCATCAATCTACCTGGGGCGTAAAAAAGGGTAATATATGACTCACCTAAAATCCAAGGGTGGTGAAACCAGTCCTGGACCAAGAAACACTAGAGAGTAGAGGCGGCACATAGGCGGAACCCGTAGGTGGATGGTGGATGACGATTGACGACGTCTTGGGAAGAGGGTAGCCAATTTGTAGATTATGTAAGATGAGGGAAGTGTGCACACTTTTGGCAAACCCTTGATGTGGGGGACGCATTGAAGTTGACACTTGACACAGGTTCCAGGCACTCGTGGCGGACGTGGCAGCGATAAAATACGTTTTAAATAATTAATTGTAAAAGCCCTAACGGTTCTGCATTTTCACTCTTGAGCTGTCTTCAACTATTTCGATATTTTCTCTCCAATCTTTACTCCGCCTTTTTTTACTCTAAATACCCACTAAAAATATTATTTCTTTAACTGTATTTTGCATTCTCCATTTTCTTAAAATTTCTGTCTCCACCACAGTTGATTGTGTTAATCTTGTGAAACTTTTCAGGTGTACTTTGATGTCCTGGGACTTTTCATGGTGCAATACTCGGAAGTGATCGGGATCATACTAAATCTCAGCACCGTCGCACTGTCTGTGTACACAGTCATTAAAAACACCCTCGCTTACACTTCTGGTGAGTGTTTTCCTGGTTTATTTATATGACTGACAAACATTAACTTTACCCATTGACGACTCGTATGTAGCTCGTCGCCACATTTCATGAAGAGATAGCCTTACGGCTAACCCACCCGCTCATGTAGTTTGTCGAATCAAACCCGTAAAGGGCTAGTGTCGTCGTGAACTTTAGCCGGGTTCACACGATGGCAGTAGGAGAGACAATCTTCTGAAGAGAACTGACTGGTATGAAATTATTGGCTTTGTGTAAATACGTCAGGACGATTGTCTTGCCAACTGCCCTCACAATTGCTCTGAAATTCAGTTGTCTCCGGTAGTAGACTGAGTACAACTAGGAGGACATCTGGCCTTCGACAATCCCGCAATCTTGTAATGACAACTGTCTTACCAACTGGCATCATGTAAACCTGGCTTTATCGACTTGTTTGGCCAATGGTGGCATGCCAGCTCAGTTGGCTAAAGTGTTGCACTGATGAGTATTGCGTCGAGGTTTTTCTACACTCGTGGGTTTGAATCCCATACATGTGCAATCCATTTGAGCTTACTAATGTGTGGCTTAGCTGGTGGGAGGCCCACCTTGAGTAAACGTCCAGCTTAAGTGGAAGCTCACAGCATTAGTGAGTTTAACGAGGATTGCTCACAACACCTGTATTGTCTCTTTTTAAACATAAGTATAGAAGAGGAGGACAATGATTTTTATATTTTGTTTTTAAATGGACGTATCGAGTTGAAATACTTATATGATGAAAGCCATAAAATGACTCAAAAGAATAAGTTAAAAGACTAATAAAAAAAAAAATCCAGCGTGAATGGGTTCATTAAAAACAGTTTTTTTCTGGGTGGAACCTTGTCACATCATTCATAGAATCAGAATCAGAATCCGTGGAAGCCTTGCTTCTAAAGGAATTAAAATTTATTTTAATCAATGCTAAGTAAAAATCGTAAATTTGTTACAGATAAAATTTTGACACAAAATGTAACTTGTAAGACTACTGATGTTTTAGTTTATCACTTTATGTAAATAATATAACAATTTAAATATTTTAATTTTGTATTACTAAAAAAATTAAATTAATGAAAATATTCAGATTTCACAACTCCAAACTTTCTTTTAATTCGCTACATATGTGAGTTTATAAGTTCACCAACGCATATATTATGTTGAAAAACTGAAATTTTTGTATGCAAGTAGAGAACAATCATGGGAAAATATAATCTTGAAAGATAACACCACATATTCAGTCTTTATCCTCGTGTGTTTGTCATTTATTATCAGCTGATAAATTGTTATTCTTTAATTATTAGAAAGAAGTTAAATATTTTATCCACACTGTAATGTGGGTACAACCATTGACTAACACAGAATTTACACAGTGTATAGTCAACGGTTCAACACAGAATTCTCCTATCACCCAAGTTTTGTATTTAATGAGTCAGACTTACAAAATGTACATACTACACGAGAAAAGAAATGGAAATTTCACGGATGGATTTTATCTTGTATAAAAAATTAACTGCCAGACATTGTCTTGCAAAAGAAACCAATACAGTAAAGTCTCAATTATCCAATTTAATTGTACAACCAGAAAAACAGTGAAAACTATAACACAAGTGTTGAATATTATCTCCAAACACTACAAAAATTTAAAAATCACACATTTAAACACAGTTGTTATAATTTTAAATCAAACCAAATAAAAATCACCCACTGAAACAGTACTTTTGAAGTCAGTCACAGTTTTCCCTTTGCGCGATGTTAGGGGTCTTATCTTATCTAGAAGGGGCTGGCCAAAGCCTCAAAGAAATTCATCTGTATTTGTAAAATCTTCACACACCCTAGTCGGTTATATTTGGAGACCTTCAATATCCGTACACATGATTATTCTCTGCATTCTACCGATCATTCACTCTTCAGGAAGGGGACTTACTAGATTGCCAACAGTTGTCCGACATACTAGACTGGGATGGGTGGTGTCGTCCTGTAATCCAGCTACTAGGCAGTCACGAATTGTGGATATTTATAGGCCATTGTGGATGCGATAATCCCTGGTGTGGATTAACGTCTGCACTAGTGAGTACTACGACTATCCGCAGTACTATCCTGTTAAGTAGACCAATTTGTTAAATACAAGGCAAAAATGTGGTTTGGATTCCACTATAAACCGTAGGTCCCTTAGTTGCCATTAGTATGGGCTATCAATTAACAGTTGTGTCTAAGGAATTTGTTGGCCTTAGTTACTAACAAGACTACAGATCACGCCACTCATCCTTCACTCATCTCCATTCATACTTGGCTTAAAATATCTACATTCGTACGGTTGCCATTTCTAAGTAAAGTATTAAAGTACAAAGAGCTTTTTGCAGTAAAAACAGGTGAACTACTGTTCACCTGCTGTGATCCGATCCAATACTCCGATCCGATACTTTAATAAGTTATATGACCTGTGGTGAACTACTGTTGTGTCTCCTCTGAACTCTTGGTTTTGGTGCACCATCATACAAAACAAACCCAAAAGATGCAGATGCTTTCTGAATGTCCAGTTATCAGTCCCCCTTGTCAGTTACTTTGCCTATCCAACCACGGGCTGTCTCAGACAATCCGTTTCTAAAGCATGTGATGAGTGTAAACTTAGTCACAGGTCTTTGTTTAACGACGTTAAGGTGTTTTCAGGAGTGGATGACATTTGTAGTATTTTAAATCTATGGGGGTATGCAGCGTGCAAAAACAAAGCGCAGTACGGTCAAGTGTAATATCTTTTGAGTACAGTCCTGTAGCATAAGGGATTTTTTTAGACACACCAAGGTATAAAATCAATCTGCCACACAGAATCAGTATGTGATCTCAGGGGACTCTAAGATTGTAAGGCACTCTCGGATATGGATCGAGCTGAGGTAGTGGTAGAGTGCAGAATTTTGTCCCTGAGGTCTTGGGTTCAAATCCTGCCAACCACCCATGGACTTTATTCAAGTAATAACTCCACAGCCCTGTAGGCCTAGCCTGAAGTATTGTTTGAAACTTTTGTGCTAGAGGCTACATCCTAGGATGTGAAGTGGGACAGAAAAAATAAGAAAAATACCATCAGGGAAGGACCAATAACACAGAAAATCAAATAATTAAAGATCGAATAATTGAGACTCTACTGGAAAGATTACAATTTGTGTAAATATATGTAGGAGAAAATGTATCTCACCTTTTACATTGTCTTCTTGTTTATGTAGAACCAGCACCAAACCAAACATCAAAATGTTTTTGTAAGTAAATCTGAGACCTAATTTCTTCTCCCTTTTTCAATTTACTGCTTTGCATACTGTTGTGCATTGCTGCATTTAACATTTGTTTATTTATTTTGTTAACTTTCTCCTAAAATCTGTTGCTGTATACAAACCCCGATCACAGTGAATGTATGCTTTGGTTATTTATTTTACACCTGTAGAAGGTTTTATAATGACTTTTAAATTCCTAACATGTTGCTTGTGCATTTTAATAAAATAGTTATCACATGTATGAGTAAAAGTTTAACACAATTATGTATCAACATTATATTCATTTATAATTTAAGAAAGCCGTAGGTTGCTGATTGAGGAGACATTAAAAGGAGTTTAGCTTGCTTACTTGTGAAAATATAGTTTATGACATTAAAAAATGCAGTTGACTCTTGCGCATCCAGATCGGCCTTGTCTGGACTCTTGGGAGTCCGGATCGGCAATCGTGATTTTTTTAGCGACACAGTACAGTAGAAGTCTGATTATCCGAGCTAAACGGGACTGAGACTACCTCGAATAATCAAACAAATTGGATAACAGTAGCAGTAAAAGCAGTAAAAATTATTACCAGTGGAAGTGCATATGCCCGTCTATCATTACTGTGGACCTGGAACAAAATTGAAAAAAAAAAAAACGGCTATATACAGTACTGTGCATTTGCTCGTCTCTCGATAGTCCGGATTTTTCGTAATTCGGACCGGACGTCCGCCACATTAGTCCGGATGAGCGAGGGTCTACTGTACATAGAAAAGGTCACATAAAACAACTTCACCCGAGAATACTTTGTGATAAGTAATCACATAAAGATATTGATTTCTCTTCGTCATTATACTGAATAAGGCTACTGGTCGTAATATCAGTGCTATGTTTTGTCATGTTTTATTGTAACTATGTAAAAAAAAATGTTTGGCTGTAAATCTTTTATTATTTCTCTGACGAAATAAAAGTAGTGAAAACAAATTTGCCAACCCATAACAAAACCTTAACCAAGTTTAGATTCAATCAATAAATTAAAATAGCCTTTGTGTCTTAGAAAAGACCACTTTGAAATTTAATCAATTTAAGTCACACTTGTACAAATAATAAATTATAGTTCTACTTATTGTTTGAAACAAAATACCATAGGAAAGTTGGTGATAGGATGGTTGCATGATCTAACCATTTTGGTGTTTTTTTACAAAATATTTCTGATGAATTTCCTAAGTTAAAGCAAAAAAGTAAACGACTTTAAACCATTCTTTGAAAATATCACAATTTGTTTGATCCTAATCAAGTAAATGCACAAAACAGGTAAAAAAAGTGATATTTTTCTATAGATTGCTGAATTTTCTTATTTATTTTAAGTCTTCATGAATGCTTTATGCCGTTTCCCCTTTTCACCTTGCCCATTATGAATTTGTGCTGAATGCAATGATTGAGATATTTTGCATGAAGCTTGTTCGTTGCACGTTTTTATTTTTAAACTCCTGTATTAACAGTTTTGAAATGTTAAACTATTTTCACCTTGTTATACTTTTAAGTTGTGGAAACAATTAAGATTTTTGTGAAATATTTGCATATTGTAAATTTGTTCAAAACAAAAAATGAGTGAATTGTCATATTAGCAAAATTTATTTCTTTAGATTGAGCTATAAATAATGATTGTTTTGATGTATTTTGTGCTGTAAGACAATCGCGATCTTTTAGTCTGGTTAGTGACTACGTAAGAGTCTTTCTGGCCACATAAGACTGACTAGTTTAAAGTGTTTTACCGTAAAGTCAGTTCGGTATTCTCCTACGCCAGCCATGATAGTGGATTAATTTACAGCCTTTACATTATTTAGTCTTTGAGTATAAATGTCAGTCTGCTTATAGTTTTTTAATGATAAAAATTTTCCTAATTTAAATTTTGCCTAAACAATTATTATCATAATTTATTTTGGTTTTTATTATCTAGACTTTGTTAAAGTCATTTAAGGTGGATAAAACCACTTAAAATTTAAGCTTTAGGAATTTTTTGTATTAGAGCATGCTTATCCGACTTTGAACCATAAACACATTATTCTAACCACAGAAACTTTTATACTATACCAAAAATATTTCAAACCAAGAAAAGTTCTAGTAGCAGAAAGAACGCCTTGGTTAAAAATGCTGCCAACTAAATACTATTAAAAAGTCCTTAATCATTGGGCTTTTAATGAATGATCGTGGAGGTAATCTATTAGAAGAAGGCAATCTTAGTCGGTAACAAAGCACACAGAAAATATCATTTGATTCTACACTCACCTTGCCTTGCATTAATGTACAGCTTAAACACGTACACTAGATCGCCTAAATTCGCCTTATGTAACATAGAGCACAAGGGCCTAGGTTTTATGATTTTTTGTGAGTACAGTATAGCAGGCTTACCTGAATGGGAAAGAGTCTGAACTGGTACAGGATACACAACCCCTTACATTACATACACAAAACATCAGAATAATTTTTAGTGTTTGTCTTTGCTGTCACTGACGGAATTATCAACTAAGGAAGAGCAAGAGAGTTTTCTTTAGGTCCAATATGGTGGCCAGGGGTTGTTGAGACAGTAGGATATTGCCAAAAAAGTGGGAGTAAAAATTAAAGTGATTAAAGTGTTTTTTGTTCCAGAATGGATTCTTTCCCATTTAGCTAAGCCTGCTCACTTAAACCCATGAAAACTAGATCCTTGTGTTGGCATTTGAAGTTAAAACTGAAATGGAAGTTTCAACTTAACCCTTATTCTTTTGTTAAAATAAAATATCGTTAAACTCAAAATACCTAATAATACCTGGATTGAACAGTAGTAAAAGATCGTCATACCTCAATATCAATATCAGGGGATTCTAAACAGCTAGAACTACTGACAGTTGACTAATCATTTGTAACGGCGCAGGTATGAAGAGGCAGGCGATGTGTCGACAGCTGGCGTTGTCGGTGCTCGTGCCGGCTCTTGGTATGGTTCTGGCGGTAACGAGCGCCGTTGCCAACGCCATCGTCTTGGACTCTACACAGCGGCCAATGTCCTGGTAATCAACTTATTACAATAATTTTTTATTTATTTGATGATGAGAAACTGAGGGTAGAATTAGCTATATTAAACGGTAAACATTTGCTTTAAATACAGTTTAAAACGGAGGGTAATGTTTATCATTGTTAGTTAGCTAGCTGTTTCTGTAGCTGGAAGGATCTGGAGTCTATGATTACGTAGCGTAATAATCTTGAACAAAACAACATTAAATTAACTATTTGTATAGCATTAACCTCAATGTGTTTGTTTAGGTATACCCACAACTCTTTGGTTTTGCCGATATACTTCCTACCATCTTTGTTTGCTCTCTCTGCTCCGTTGTATATCTTCACTGCCTGCAAGAGTGTGAGTATTTTGAAATTATACCATTCAGCTATGAAAGAAACTGATTTTATTTAGCACCAAATTTTTTAATGTACAACCAAATTTTTATGATGTACACAACAGGCCTGAATGAGACAGGAATCAAACCATCTATAATGCCATTTCCTTGTCATAGAAATATCATCTTGGATTGCTCGGCCATTAAGCAGACTTAAGGATCTGCCACACTAAAAACACTGGTCAACCCAAAGCCCAAGCAAGTAATGCTTAGTGAAAAATTGAAATATCATTGTAATGTTCAATTTTTCACTAAGCATTTCTTATCATTAAGCAAAAATCATCATCACTAAGCAAAAATCATTTACTCGTCAGTTTGATTCTATCAACCAGTACACCATCCAAATGCTTCAAATTTTTATGTAATAATATTGAGCCGTTGAACTTTTATTTAGCACTATTACATATTTAATTACAAGCAATTATTCTAACACTAGCTTTGAATTGACGGTTACAAATTTTTGTTCTACTTCAATCTAATTTAATTTCAGAGCAAGCTGTGTGATGGAATACAAGCGCAAATGTACTGCAACGGAATACAGCTGATCTGGAGTGTTCTTCTTCTAATCGCCACAGTGGCTGGGATCAGGTCTGCGTACATTTTGATGATTGTGGTACTGATACCAGCTGTTGCCAATTTCCTACTTCTGCTCTGTCAGAGGAACCAGTCAGGTGAGCGCAAGTTGTTTCCGCAAATCAAGTTTGCCGAATGTTATTTTCCAAAGTATCAATCAAGGGTTGGACTAGTTTTATCACACTTAGTGACCCGAGCGTTGCATGGCTTTAAATTTAACAAAACTGAGAGTACAAAGTTTCTCAAAATCGGGCGATTGACACTTGAAGGGTTAAATTATAAACATTTCAAGCTATAAGGTACTTTGGATTATATTGACCCCACCTTAATTGGTTACCCTTAGGTTGGGATCAGGTTATCTGCCGGTTATCTTATCATAACCTAACCTAGCCTGGCCTAGCTTAGCCTAACCTAGGTGTGGTAACCTAACCCAATTTGGTTGTGGTTGGTATAATACCAAAGAAACAGCTATTCCAAAGCCTGCTAGTAGTTAGTACATTTTAAAACTGAAACTGCAATTGTGACTAGTGGCAACAGTTAAGAAAACGCTAGTCTACATGTGCACATAAACAGCTATAATTATTTATCTCTACATTTTTGTGACTCTTGTCTGTTCTTCATGGACTTGTAGATAAATAATGTTGTTACAGTGCCCAATGTTGTTACAGTGCCCGTTTGGCTGTGTGGCTTCCTGGCGAGTGCGCTGTTGCCGGCCTTCTACACAGTCTACCTCAGTATATTGTTCCTGCAGGTGTTTGTACCTGTGACCGGTCGCATGGGAGCCGACACTAATCCTGACATCATCATCGGAGTTATCTGCTCCGTACTGTGTGTGCTTACTGCCAGCTACTTTGTGAGTAGGCCTGCGGTTAAACATATCGATATTGTGAAAGTTTATTTTTGTTGTAACTAGTGATGGTCAAAACCAGAAATTTAATTCAAATCTCAAAATCTACTAATGTAATAAAATGACTATGGGACTAACACACTTGAAACCTAAAATACTCTCAGTGCAATACTAAATATTTGTGATTTTTTATTTGAATACTTGAATGATGGATTCTAAATTCTGATGTCAATGTAATTGCCTAATTGGTAGGCCTATATGAATTTTACTTTGAAAAGTAGTTTTTAATATTTTAATAGTGGTTTTCTGTTTCTCATAAAATCTTATAAAATAACATAAAATCACATTTTTACAAAAACTGCTCGACCAATTGAATTAAATAACATTTTACAGTTCATTGATTTCAGATCAAAATTGCACAACAATGCTGTACAAATTAACATTATAAATATATTGCATTTGTTTTATTTCCCCCATAAAACACAAGTTCCTCCACTTACCAACTGAAATTTTCCCTTGCAAGGAGTATGTTCATTTTTAGTGTCAGGCTAATGGGATAGAGTATTTGTCAGTTTGCTGATACCATTTATCACAGGTGCCGCTGATGGTGCTCATAAGGAAACCATGGACTGTGTTCCTATCGCTGATATTTCTCTATGTGGCTGGTGTGTTAACTGCTATGTACACATCCGTGGGGTTCCCCTACTTAAACACCCCTTCCAGCCCGACACCACAGAGACTATATGTAGTGGTGAGTTGTAATGATATTTTAGATAGTAATTGTTAACTACTAACAGGTCTTTGGCATATATTAATTACCTATAATTGGTCCTCTTTTATGAAGATATTGTTTGAGAATACGTTTTAGTTCAGGGTGTTTTAATTCGTTGGAAGCCGCCATAGCGCATCACTTACTAACCGCAGGTCTGCTTGGCACATTTTGACTGGGACGGTGGCATCGTCCCGTAATCCAGCTACTAGGATGTCACGAATTGTAGATATTTATTGCATGCACTGTGGATGCGATACTCCCCGGTGTGGATTAACAACCACACTAGTGAGTACTACGACTATCCGCAGTACTGTTCTGATAATTAGACCAATTCGTTAATTACAAAGAAAGAATGTGGTTCGGATTCCACTATAAACTGTAGGTCCCTTGGTTGTCATTGGCTGTTGGTCCTATTAATTAACAGCTATGTCGGTCTTGGTCACTAACAAGACTACAAGATCGCGCCACTCATCCTACACTCATATTTGGGTTAAAATACGCACATAGCGGCGTCCCCATCTTTAATAATTGATTGATAACTATACGACACTCCTTTTATTTAGAGTAAATAACATAAAGTAGAAGTACTTTAAACTTAAACTATATAAATGAAATGATGGTGCTTATGATGGGCTTTTTTGCATATAGCTCCAATGTTTGTAGCAACGAGGCGGCTTGCCGCATACTGGCATCATTGGTAAACAGAAAGGCGCCATTTATAAACTCTTTAGTTGGCGTTAACGCTTCGCTGTGTGTTTGAAAAAATGTTTAACTATTGAATCTCCCCCTCAAAACGAGATAATATCATTGATATGATTTTTTAACCACACAAAACAAATCCGTCGCCAGCTGCCTGAAGGCAATTTCCCTAATGCAATGAGTGAGGGTAAATGGCTGTGAAAATGTTCTTTTTGGATTGAATCAAGTTTTTGATGGGTGTAGACTTCTCACATAAGACCACAACAAGGGAAAGGAGTTTTCACGACAATTTTTACTCTCAAAAACCCATTTCTGCACTTTACCCTAGGGCCATAACCTTCAGTCATCTGCCGATGAATGTCGGCATCAGATATGTTTCTTGTTGTCAAAAGCGTATCACTGACCTAATCCCTCATACGGCAGGAAAATATTAAAAACATATTCTAGACGCACAGCAAAGTGTGCTACAAAGCTTCAAATGGCACAGTTCTGTTCACAAATGATGCTAGTAAGTGGCAAGAAGCCTTGTTGCAGCGTACACCTTAACTATGAAGCGATACGCACAAACGGCCCTCGTAACTTGAAGACTTTATAATAACCAGCCATGTTTGTCCTAGCACTCAGACCAAACATATTACGGAAGCTCAGGATTTGTGAGGAAAAGAGAATCTGGATTTTATGTCATGAATTTGGATCGACGAATCAACGAGATTGACAACGTCATGTCAGAAATGACAGAGGCTCAAGACATCGCTGCTTTGTGCGAAGAAATATTCTGCGGGATACCAGTGATTTCCTGGAAATTCATGTTGAACAAGTAAGTTTTGTAAACTCTCTTCACTCTCTACATTTGACAAAGTACCCTAGAGTATTACTAGGGGGTAGTTATTTCCTATCTGTATTTCTTCAACGGTTAGCTAGCTGCTATCCTCCTTAATCTACAATTGAAAATCCTGGCCTAGCCTTTCTATGAACAAAACCATGTTGAAAAATCTAGGTCTTAAGCCGCGTTTACACCGGAGTTTGAAACACGAGTTGCAAACAGAAATTGCAAACATCTCTAAAAACGCCCAATTTTCAGATGAAACTTTTCGCTGTTGCAAACAGTTTTTCAGTGTTTGCAACAGAAATTTTAGTTTCCACTTGAAGTCGGTAAAGATCAAAGGGAGTTGCAAACTCTTTGTTTGCAACACTAGTTTCGGTCACTATGAGCCGTTGAAACACGAAACAGAAACATTTCTCCACCATCCCATCCCCTACGCTACCACCTCTCACTCACATGATCACTCGCACCACCCTGTCTCTACTCAGTGTACCCTGTCTGGACTGCTACCTCATGTTTGTTGTGACTTATCTCGTATCGTGCGTGTTGTGAGTGATGATCTACTGAGTGAGATGGAGTGAAGAGATGATAATATTAAGTTAATTAGATTGTACAGAGAACATGAAGAGCTTTAAAATCAAACTATTTCTGACTATAAAAACAAAAACAAGAAAAACTAGGCGTGGAATGACATTTCACGGGAAATTAACTTAAGCAAGGCAGAGGTCCAAAATAAGATGAGGAACCTCATAATTTATTTTAACAGAGAATCTAAAAAGGACAATAAGTCTGGATCGGGGGTCGACGATGTGAAAACCAAGTGGAAGTTTTTTTTTCAATCAATGGTGTTTCAATCAATGGTGTTTCAATCAAGGTCGAAATTATTTCAAACATTTTCATGAAACATGGAAACAAAACCATGAAATAAAAATTGCAAACTTTTATTTGAAACTACTGTTTGCAACTGCTGTTTGCAATAAAAGTTTGCAACTTTTTGTTTGAAACTCCGGTGTAAACGCGGCTTTAACATAACATGCTACCTGGTAAATTATAAAGTAAGATTTTGTGTTAGAAATTTAGCTATGTAAAAAAATCTTGTTATTAGTTAGTTTGAAATTTTTTATTGAAAATATAAATACCTATATTTAGGAATAGGGGTTTGAAAATAAAACTGATTAGAAATATTTTTTTACGTTGTGGAAATTGAATTTTTATTTTTCAATAAAACACCTATTGACAATAGTCAATGGGCAAAAAAAATTATCTTAAATCATAAATATTCCTGTGTTTTCTTCTTTACTAAATAATCTGGGAATATTATACTTTTTTTACTTTCTTGTTCCAACTAACAACTAGATTTGAGGCTAAAAAGGGAAGGAAGAAAGGAAAATTGTCCACTAGTTTTCCTATAAACTTATTATGTATCGGTTTTGTAGGGAATCGAAAAATGTGAGATGGCTAAAGGCAGGACCACCGGCAATTTACGAGAAGACAGGTTTAGAATTTGCAGGCTACGAAACCATCAGTAAAGTCGATGCTCCTCACTTAGTCAGAAGAGTACACTTCAATGTATCAGGTAAGTTCGAAATATTGAGTCATTCGCTGAACGTTCTTTCACTTATCAGTAGCCTATTTTAGACTCAGAATTCAAGGTGTGGGATGACTTGTGGGATTTTTTTGCTGACCAATATTCATTCAGTTTTTTTAGCCAGTAGGCCTACCATTTATTGATAGCCTTTTATTCTTGATCTTACCATTTAATCTGTAAAGTTTTTCTGATGTAAGAATATTGCATCTTTTACTATACTCCGTTCACAAAATTTAGGCAGTTTGAGGGGAAGCAATTCCATCCCCTCCACCTCACCCTAACTTTGAAACAACAGCCGACAACTAATCAATCAATACCTACCTTAAGCTAAAAAAGTTCGTGGGGAACTCAGGAAAACGTCTCCTTAAACCACCTGAATTTTGTGAACTTGATCATTAGTTTCGACATTTTATTCTCGTATTAAAGGATTAATTTTGTGATTTGTGCTTGTAATTAGATCGTTAGATTGATTTAGGTTTAACTCGTTTTTAAATAACAAGAAACATGTAAAGAAAATCAAGTCCCTACAAGACCAATCTAAATTGTTCTCAATTTATTGACATTTTTCATTTTTCCCAATATCTCTCCTTCACTTGTATCATGTTCGTTCAAGTTTCATTATTTAAACAGCAATCAATTTCTTAAATTCAATTTTCTTCAGTGTATATTTCCGAACCATCTTTTACGTTTGTTCAGACAAGAATTCCTTCACTAACTTCCCTCCGTATTGTTTGTCATGAAACAGAAAAAAATTATGTAGTAAAATGATTTTCTTAATATAGTAATAAACTAATCTAAAATGTCTTTGTTATTTCAAAAGAAAATAAGAATTGATTGATAATATAGTTAAGTAAAATAAATTAGTGTGATAAATTAGAATGATTTTCAATTTACATTTTGATTCTTTTTGTCATTAATGTCAGTTAGTGAAAATACACTTGTGTGGTGTATTTGTTGTCAAATAAATCATCTACAAAATCTTTTTCTTCCTTTGTTTTCCATTACTAAAGTAAAACTATTAAAAGACTTATTTATCCAAAATTTGATGGTAACTTTGTTAGTTTTTACATTTCCACCACAGTATTGCTACAAAACATTATTAAAATCATTGGTTTTTTGTACATTCTCTTTGTCATGCTATTTATTTTTCATCTAGATGCACCAGCTGTTAATAAAATTGCTGTTTGACAAGAGCACACTCTAAAGAGTGTTTTTTTAATCAACTGAAATTTTGCACAATTCAGTATATATTTGAAGAGTAAACAGTATTGGATCTTACTTTTGTAGTAGCATTTTAGACGTTTTGTAGAAATATTATTTTGCAAGTGATTTCCTCAATCAGTTAAAAATGTTACAAAATTAGCTTGCCAACAATGGTAAAAATCTCTGACTCATATACAAATGAATTTATTTACAATCTGAAAATTAAGTTCTTAGATCTCACAATTGAACACTAACCCTCATCAATAGATATACATGTTTTTAGATTTATCTGTTATCCATGTATGTTTATCGCAAAAACTCCATTCTCTGCAACTCTCAAGCTTCCTTTATGAAAGCAAGAGGGTAATAATATCTCTACTTAATACTATATTATTATATGGGGTAAAAGTCTTATATCTTTAACAAAATAAATCGTAAATGCATGGGATTTGCACCAAGTGATTTGGAATTCAAATATATATGTAACTCAAAATCGAAAATTCCCGACAAGAGGTCCCTATTCGCTTTCCACATCACATATATATTATGTGTGTTTTTAGATTTAACTGGTTAGGTCCATGTATTACCAATATCCATGTATAATCCATGTTTATTGCTCCTATCTCAGCAACTCTTAACAAGCTTCCATTTATGAAAGCAAAGATTCACCTTAAAAATTATTCTGATTCCACATAAAATATAATAACTTAGGGAAGTTAACTAGATTTTTAAAATCCATCTCTTTGAACTCCATAGATTACCGAATTTAATTTTATAAAGCTAACTTATTACTGTTTTAATGTTTTTCTTATAAAGAAATCACAAAGAATCTTGCAAACTTCAGCCCGTGCCATCCACCAGCATCAACATGTATATCACTCTTTACCTTAAGTAAATTTAGTTGAAATATTGCAGATGGCACAGAATTACAACTATCTCTGAAATTCTAAGACAAAAAAAAAGAAGAGAGATACCACACAAAATGCAGTACAGTAATACACTGGCTGAGCTGTAAAACTGATATCATAATGCTTATGTTTCTTCCTTTCACCTAAAATAAGAGGTTTGACCATATAATTTATGGTCTCAAATGAAACTCAATGATCTTTTAATTCAATGAACAGAATTCAATTCTTACATAATTGTAGGTTTAAAATTAAATATAAGGCCTAACAGCAAACAATTCATGAGGTTAGTACTGGAGGATTTATGGTATTTTTTTTGTTTATTCACCTTAATGCGTTCAATGAGCTACAATTCAGATATGATTGAGAAACAGTGTTGTTGATAGTTGTACTGCTTACGTTGCACAATTTTGGTTTCGCTTTACCAGATTGATATTATTTATAGTACCTACAATACTTAATACTTACTACACATAGAGATTTTTAAACTACTTTATAAGAAAGCTACTAATATTTATTATGTATTTTAATGATTTTACTCACACTTTTCATCCTTGTGTTCTCTTCTGCACCAGCATAAATTTATGATGAATATGTAATTTATTGTTTCCATGGTTTTAACTAACTTTAAAATGGTAAAAAAAACACTTGTATTTAGTGACAGCAACTGAATGCAATTTTACTTGTTAGACTACTCGATTTTAAATAAAAAAATTTATTTTCATTATTTATACAACATAAACATGATAATTCCCCATTTTTGTAATCAATATTTTAGGTATTTCAACTGGCTTTTGAAATTGTTTTTACAAGGGATGGGTATGGTAGTTTTATTGCTATCAACCTGTTGTAGAATCATTATTTATTTATCAAAGCTGTTGACACCATCTCCAAACTCCATCCATGTTATGCACACATTTCTTACAACCAAACACATAACTTCTTTACTCCATTAACCCTTCAGTACATGCTTGGCTATTATACTAGACTATAGACAAGACTGGGACGGTGGCGTCGTCCTGTAATCCAGCTACTAGGAGGTCACGAATTGTGGATATTTATAGAAATGCATTGTGGGTGCGATACTTCCTGGTGTGGATTATTGTACTTACTAGTGAGTACTACGACTATCCGCAGTACTATCCTGATACTTAGACCAATTCGTTAATACCTACCAAGGCAAGAATGTGGTTCGGATTCCACTATAAACTGTAGGTCCCATAGTTGCCATTAGCTGTTTGGGCTATTTAGTAACAGCGGTGTCTAAGGAATATGTCGCCTAAGTCACTAACAAGACTACAAGATCGCACCAATCATCTTTCACTCATATTTGGGTTAAAATACGAACATAGTGGCGTCCCCATCTTAAATAATTGATGAATTTCAAAATAATTACAAATATTTCAAATTGAATATGTTGTGTTGAAAACCAATCAGTCAATCGCTGGCCTGTTCCCATCCATCCTCTTGAAACATGGCACGCCCAACTTTACACCTCGTAGCTCAGGGCCAACTGACTCCAAGACGGTCAAAACACTGCCATTGTCCTTGGAAAGGTAGTGGGTGAAGGAAGATGCACGTCTAATCATTCGCTCGCTTATTCACTTATTTTGGCGCACTTTGCAAATGCGCTGACTCTGAGTCCGCGGCGCGTGTACTGGAGGGTTAAGTGGTGATGGACTTGTAGTGGTTTATAATTATTTATTTATTTATTAATTATTTATTATTAATTATTTATTATTATTTATATTTATGGACTAATAGTGGTTTACCGCTGAGACCATAGAAAGTGATTCTTACTTGGCGTGAGAGGCAGTTTTTTACATTATGTTTGTGAATTAACGTACCATCAAATAATGTACCAGTACCTAGGAGAGCAGCTGCTTACAGATGTGTAAGAATTGTTAAAGATTATAGGGAGTTTGTTTAATCCATGGTAATATTTATTGATGTAAATTTAAGTTGAATACTTTTTTGGATCTGTAATCTGTCAAAAAAAGTTACCACTGCTTAATACAATCATGATTCACATTGTCATGAAAACATTTGATTTCCTGTTGACAGGGCCAGACCACATGCACTTGATAGTGTGGCCGAAAGTAGGCGTCAAGTTGGTCGGGTGGTCGTTCAACGAGAGTGGGAAAGATCCTCCAACACCAACAGCTACATGGGACACGAGGCCGGCCTACGTGGTCAGTTGTGTGCGAGGGTTGCACACAACACTTTCACCAGTATACTTTGACCTCCAGGTTGGTATAAGTTTACTTACCCTTCTGGCGGAGTTTGAGGTTATTTACTGGGGGTGGCAGGGGTTCTTCATATTTCTGCTGCAAACTTGCAGGGGAAAAATTAAATAGGTTTATTTGCGTAACAAAATTATAAATCATTTATATTGAAAGGTTTTTTTCTCTATTTTGGTAAGATTGTAAATATTTTGATACTATTTCCAAAATGAGAAAATACTAATTTTTTGGGTCTAAGAAAGAAAGTAAAAAATAGTTCATAGGGATGGGTCGGCTGTCGCTTTTATCAATTTGTTTACAAAAAACTTAAACCAAAAACTGAGGTAAATAGTCAGTTTTAATTTATCAATTAATTGTTGTGCAACAATTTTGCTGTGATTTTGTTTTATTGGATAACGGATACCAAAATTACTAATTACAGTAGAACACCATTCATTTGGATCAGTTGGGACCGAACCCCATTTGGGTAATACAGATGGTTGTATTTTTCAAGAATAGGAAGATTTAAAAATTAGAAATTCGCACTAGCGAGATTGCCTGCTGATCAATTAGACACTATAACAGACTCGCTGCATGATGGACACTATTAAATTACGACTAACTTTCCAGAGTGAAGGCGAGGTACAGGTGCCTCTGGCCGCTTTTGTCGCCATCGGCCAATATCTTCACGACGAAAGACAATTCACCATGGAAATGAAAACATTCCTGTCTAAGTTTCCCTCGTGGAGTCACGTGACGCCGTGGTTCTCGCAGACGGTTCAGAGAGAGTACTAGGCTGAAACTTTGTACTAGACAAGAATGGAGTATAAAACTTCGAGTACCAAAGTACACTCCTTACAAGACTGGGACCTAGTTTCATAGTTGTGTACATAGCTTAAGGGTCTACAACTACTCCACTGTTAGCGTAAGTTGTTTTGTGTGACAAAATATGATGCTATATTAGCAGAACAGTTAGCTTAAAGTTTTTTAATATTTACTATCTCACTTCTGAATCTCAGGGGTCTTGGATGTTTCAAGTTTTTATTTAAGTTCAGTTTTTGTTTGATTTGAAGCAGATTTAAATTAATGTTTTTTTTAATGAAGCCATTTTGATGAATAATGACTATCCAAAAGTAGCTCTAAAAGACACAATTGATTCCATTGCTCGATTTGCAGAGGAACGCAGCAGTACAAAGTTCCGGTACCTCTCTTTTGGAATGATAAAAATACTAACATAGTTACCAATCATATTTAATAGGTTACAGTTCCGACACCTCATTTTTTACAAATCAATCAATGATTGATTCTTATTCAAGGAAAAGCTTATAGGCTGTGGTTGTGTCAAGAGTTATGAGTTGCATGACTGTCATCGAATTCAAATTAAGTAACATTTAGTTAAAATAACCAAAATTAAATCATGTTATGAAGCACTGCGATGAAAATCATTGCCGGGATAACTGTAAGAGAAAAATTCTATCCTGATAAAATGTTCATCAAAATATTATACCAAAAATAAAACATTTCACTGCAACTGACAGCATTTTCAACCAAGAAAGGTGACATTTTTCATGACTTTTTTTAAACCTTCCACTTATCAAAACCGTCTTTGAGTCTTGTCTCGGTTAATCCTTATCTCTTCAACAGTCCTTTCCCTTTTTCATCACAAACTTTGTTTCCTTTCAATAGTCAAAAGAATCCAACTTTTTCAGCCTGTATTCTGATCAATTCTTTTTCTTGTTCATTCCATCTACCCGGTCCATAGGTGCTTCCTGGCATGTAATACGTCTTATACATGGCTATTATTGTCATTAACTCATTATTCCATAGTAAGCACTTTACGCTTTGGTAGAACCATTAGTATATTGAAACATAATGAACATAAACAGTCATCTGACAGATGTTATAAATAAAACATATGGACTTATTTCTTGGATAAATAACAGAACGCCTATCCTTTCCCTAATAATATTAAAAATCTATAAAAAAAAGTAGTCGTAACATGTAAAGCTTTGAAAGATGACAGTCAGTTAAGTCATAATTCCCACAGGGTTATTCTTCTTGAAAAATAACAGACTTGTGAAAATTACATTGCATAACTACCAAATATGTAGTCAATCACAAAAATGTTTTACTGAGTAACTTATCAACCTATAGATTATAGGAAATTGTTTTGTTACATTTGATTGACAAATGATCTTTGAATTAAGGAACAAATTATCTTATGTTTTACTATTCTGTTGATATTCACTTAAAAATTGATTTGTTATGAAAATACTGTAGGTAAGTATTTTAAAAGGCTTGTGAAAAAGTAACCTAATGTTTTGGGCTTGTATAGTGTAATTATTGTACATAAGTATTGGCCGATGAACTAAATGTTTGGAGTGTATTTAAAACTATAGTCTTTTTTATACAATAAATTAAATAGATAATTAATTGTTGTACATGACCGTTCGCTTTAAGATGAATAGATAGGAGGTTCTATGCTGAAAGTTTTTGACCATCGAAATTATTGCAATTTCTCATCTGTTTGGTAATCGAGAATTATGCTCGCTTGGACTGCATATTTTATCGAGGGTTTTAGGAATTTGTGACTCATCCTTTATGTTGGTATCTTTCTAAACTGAATGAATTAAGTGTTTGTATCCTAATATTAAAACATTCATTTATTATGACGTTTTTTGTATAGATGGCTTTAGGCTAAGGTTTATCTAAAGGATTTTGGAATGGGAAGGTTTAACAGCAGACTTACCTTACTGACTAAAATGGCACAAATAAACACATAAGGCATAGTATGATTCTATATTTAATGCCATATAGAAGGACATGAATTTGTTAATTTTTCGTACTGTACCATCTCACCCCTTTTACAGCTATCTGGACCCCTTTTACACTCCTTAAAGATATAGACACAACCTATTTTGTTTGGGAAAATTTTCAAAAGATTTGGTTTCGATTTTCAATTGAATGGACCAAAACCAATACTCTATCTATTCATCTTGACATTAATAATTCTCTGTACCATATTCAGTGTATATAAGTACACAATCTTTTTGTTTAAATGTCTTAGATCCAGTCAGTAAAAATGTAGATCTGATTTTAGAGTAAAAAATAACTCATTAAAAGTTGCATACATTCAAGCTCTCAAATAAATGAAAGAATTTAATTATTTAAGTACAAAAGATTACAAGTGAATTTAATCTCGAATAGTTAGAATTTAAGAATATTTTTGTGGCTGATAACGTTTTTGTTGGTAAGAGATTGAGTTCCGCTACTATACCCAAGAAAATTAGAGTTAAGGATCCCGGTACTATGTAAATGGTCGAATCTTTTCTATATAAAGCCCCTGGACTAACATTTTGTCGGGTTGGCAAGCGGAACTCCATCTTTTCATATATTCTCCTTTTGTAGATGATATCATTTGTTAATGTTTATAATATAAATGTTAAAGCCTTCAAAGTTTACTTTAAATGTTTTATTTTATCAATCGTTAATTTTTTTCTGTGACACTGAATTTTAAGTTAATTACAGAGTGAAAAGTACATACACCAAGTAAGTTGAAAAGCACCACAAAAAAGTCACTTTTTACTGGGTGTTTATTGGTTATGGAAGTTTTTTTTAAAATTCAGTGACTTTAGTCAAAGAGCTTTCAAAGTAACAATTTGTATCAGATTCTTATAACATAAATAATACTGATAATTTGAGTTGCCTCAGAAAAATTAAGCTATATCATATAACTAGCTTAGTTTATGCTATATATTTTATGTAAGCTATCTAGTAAAAAAGGATTTCTTACCTTGGTAAATCAAGGTCTACGGTGTTAAAGGAATTTTATATCTCATAAAAAACCCTAATGGCATGAAGAATTTTCACAGCAAAAGGAAATTTTAAATAGTTGATTACTTTTAAGATTTTCTTAAACTTAAACCAATGTACATTATAAATCTGAATTAGAATTATTTAAAAATGTTAACTATAAAAATGAAAAAATACAGATTATATTGTGATATGAATTAAATGAAATGAATTGCTGAGGGTATCCTTTAAAAATGTTAATTTAAATAACCTACGTTAAACCCCAGCATTGAGACCGATAATGTTTTAAACTTTCACTTCCCTTAAATGATCAAATTGATTGAACAAAATATGTTTTTTAATTAATTTTGTGGATTCATTGTTTATGTATTTTGTGAATAATGAGGTTTTAACCTAATGTTTGTGTTGTATTTCTTTCAAATAGTATGCACTATATTAAAATATTACCAATTGGTTTATGCAGGTTCTATTTGATTATTGTGATAAGGTATAATATTTCAGCCAAAATGGAAGACACCACCATTCTTAAAAATTGTACCCAGAATTAGACTGTGAGCCTTGAAATTATTTTTTTTAATAAGTAATTTTGGTTGACATTGAGTCATATTACATCAAAATAATGTGATGTTATTTTATATGCAATGCATTAATGCTGTTTAAACATTAAAAAAATTCTCAAAAATAATGTAGCCTACTATAAAAATCACTAAATAAAACCAACCCATGGTATTTTCCTTGTGTTTTTGGTTGGTTTCTGAGTCATAATAGCTACTTAAATCTAGCTCTATCATAGCCACTTTTAATGTTAATAGAAAATGCCTTTAAGTAATTTAATTACGAACTTGTAGGCCTAGCCTAATATATTGTTTATTGTTTGTTGTGGGTATCTTACAAAATGACGTAGTTACACAGTGGGTACAAATAGATTTTGTTGAAAATATGAAATAATTGTATTGTATGTCCGGGGATCAGATTAAGGTTACATAAAACATGTGTATTGTATTTTATTCCATACAATCTAACAAATTTAGATGCTTAAAGCATTAGTCCCAATAATTTGATTTCGTTCAACGCTAATTTCCAGTTAGGCTGATCGAAAAGTCTGAAAAGTACATGACAATTTTACGAATATAATATACAGGGTGATTGATATAAGTGTGCCAGCCATTTTATTCGAAAACCATAAGAGATATCAAAAAAAGTTAAATGGTAAGTGCCTTGGACTTTTTATTTAAAAAATTGTAGAAAAGTCGAAAACATTATTTTAGCCGCCATTTTTCCAATATGGCCGCCAACTTTGATTTTTCTTATGGAACACCCTGTATTTTATGATGTATTCTGGTAGAAAATGTAATTTTAAGACGATTTCATTCTTGTGATTTTTTTCATAAACCTAACCGTTTCAAAGATAATAATGGTTTAAGTTGTGAAATTTTGAATGGTTTTCGAATAAAACAACTGGCATGCTTGCTTAGGCCTGTATCGAAACTCTTTCTCATGCAAAAATTTCAAAACTTTAACCATTATTATCTTTGAAACGGTTAGGTTTATGAAAAAAATTACAAGAATAAAATCGTCTTAAAATCACATTTTCTACCAGAATACATCATAAAATACAGGGTGTTCCATAAAAAAATCAAAGTTTGCGGCCATATTGGAAAAATGGCGGCTAAAATAATGTTTTCGACTTTACTACAATTTTTTAAATAAAAAGTCCAAGGCACTTGCCATTTAACTTTTTTTGATATCTCTTATGGTTTTCGAATAAAACGGCTGGCACACTTATATCAATCACCCTGTATACCGTAGCTAGAATGATGAATTGGTAATAATAAGTAGGTATATTAATACAATAAGATTAAATTGATATTAATTGAAAGAAAGAAGACTAAAAAAAAACTCAGTGAATTTTCATTAGATATGGGTATTTTACCTAATTTAGGACCTGAATCAAAGAAAACTGTACAAAACTATGAAAAAATATTGTGATGAGTTGAAGTCAGAAATAAGTTTAATTGTATAAAATTAACAAGCTGGTGTAATTTGAACCAATTACACACACACACAAGCTGCTTTACATTATGCACTCACATCGCATAACAATAGACCTAGAGTGTACCTTCTTATCATTTAAGAAACCCCTGTTATGTATTTAAAATACAGTTTAGTTTGAAAAATGTACATCACAATTCAACAGATTATACATATTCTTTGAGTTTAATAGGATAACTAACTTGCAACACTCCTGACTTAAAAAATTACAACCACTACTTGCTGTATTTGTAATGGATTTGCTAAAACCACAACTTGAATTTTTTATGTTTTAACGAATTCAACCGTGGCTCTTAATTTGGAGAACTGAGAA